ATATATATATATATATATATATATATATATATACCTATCTATATGTCCTGTCCCAGTCTTAAAGAATAAGTAGTACATGCCAACCCTCAACATCCATTCAAGCAAATCCCTTTATATAGTCTTAAACCAGTACCTTCATGTTTCTTCTGAAACCCTGCATCATCAATTATTTCCCATCCTTCCTCCATTTTCCACCTCTCCCTTTTCTTAACTAGCTCTTTCTATTCTAACTATAAAAATGCTCAGGTTTCTCTCATTCTGGAGACAAAAAGCAAAAAGCAAAATAATCCACCACAATAGTCCCTTGATTCAAAGTCCTACTATAGCTATCTTTCTACCTCTTCTTTTCAGCTAAACTTTTGGAAACATAGCTATACTTATTGTCTTATCTTCACTTCTCATTGACTCCTCAATTTCTACAATCTGGCTCCTACCACACTCCAAAGAAACTGTTCACAAAGATAGCTAAAATCTCTGAATTATCAACCCCCCCCCCCCCAATTTTTTGGTCCTTATCTTTCTGGACCTTCCTGGGATAATGGCAATATTATTACTTCATTCCTTGATATCCTGTATTGTTTATTTACTTGGCACTATTGTTTTCCGGATTCTTTTCATATTTTTTTACAAATTAAATTTACTCGAGTAACAATGGTTAATAACATTATATTTTAATGCTTCTTGAAAAGGTTCCCTCATAGACTCTCCTTTTTAGCTGAGAATTAAATAAGTATTCCTGAATTCTGTCCTTAGCCCACTGCCTATTTCCCTTTCTCAATCCTTTCCTCTCCTCATCTCCCACTCTCAAATACAAATATATCCCTCATATAAAATAATGGTTCAACCTAATATTTATAGATAAGTAGCTCTCTAGACTGGTGGAATTAGAGAAGAAATAAATAACCAAATTAGAAGGTCAGAAGAGAATCACAAAAAGCTGTAAAATGAAGTTCCTGAAAATACATTAGCTGGAAGTGGTGTGTATTGTCATATAAATGATATTGGTCTAGTAATAAATTATAAATAATACAAATAAATTTCAAACCCAAGTTAATGTGATAGGTAATTAATAAAATGCCATTTGATTATAACAAACTCTAGGATAACATATTTTTCCTGTAAATGTGGCCAACAGTAGGTGAACTAAGTTGAAGAAAAGTTATAAAAGAAATATTATTTATGTTGTCACTCTTCTGGAATAGGAATAACCATTCTATAAGAAAGTGGCTCTCAAACTCAGGTAAAACTCCTGGAAGCCACAGTAGTCCTTTTGGAGACCACAAAAGAGTAACACAAGTTATCATATAAGGTTGGTACAATTTTATTAGCAGAAAACAACAATATTACAAATATATAGTATGAGTGTCACAGGGAGTTTTGTTTGCTTTGGTCATTAGTTTTCCCAGTACCAAAAAGGGTGTCTAGCACATAGTGGATGCTCAATAAGTAATGGTGAAATGAGTAAGTGTATCTACAAAAATAATGACGACAACAATCAAACTAAATATGCTTAAGTATTTCCCAGTTTGTTTTTATTAATACTTATTTGCAACCTGTTCATTCACTTTGTTATCTGCTATAAAAAGAAACAGTTTAAGAAAACTGTATGCAACCAAAATCTTAAAAACAGAAAATTATGCATTAACTTTTATTTCAGTAATGTAGAACCTCAAGTCCAGGTCCAACAGAATCCTGTTAGAAAACCATTACCATAATGTGGGCTTGGAATCATACCACTGGCCATAGGATAATATTCCCTACTCAATCTAGTCAAGATAGTGGGGTTTTTTACCTTGAAATAAATGGTTGATGTAAAGAAGAGCTGTGCCAGACGGTCAAAAATAAATGGTTTCACCTCTAGGAATTAAAAAAAAGTATTCAGAATCCTTTTCATTAATATTACATTGAATTACATATTATTCCAAGTTTTCATAATACATACCAGAGAAGCTGCTAAAAGGAAACCAGCTCACAAGTTGAAGGAACTGTGATCGACAACAGAAGCCATCCCAGAGAGGAAGGCTCTTATACAGGAATGCTTCACAGGAATCAAATCCCTCCTGTAACACAAGTTGATAATAACTCTTATGGAACTCTTTTATGGAACTCTTCAGTCTTAAGTGCTCTCTAAGCAACCAGTTTATTCTGTGATATATTTATTTTACCCTTAGATTAATTTTGTCATCAATATAATTAAAAGCCAAACTTCCCCAGAAAAAGGATCAGATGATAAATATTTGGATATACTGCCATCTTTATCAACATAGTTTTCAAATACCATAAACTTCATCAATTGGAAAGAAGGTAAAAAGTTACAAAATATCTTAAAAAATAAAATTGTATTATTTTGAAGTGCATGCAGCCACTTAAGCAGTCAACCAAATGTATACAAGGCTGGAATTTCATAAGAGATCACAGAGCAAATCCAAACTCTAGGCAGCTCCATCTAGGCTTTTTACGTTTCCACCAAGATGAGTAGCCAAGGCTTTCCTTTTTCCCTTTGTCACCTTGAGCCTTAAATAGTGGTATACACCAGCCCCGGCTGTGTGGCTCAGTGGCTGAACATCAAACCATGAACCAGGAGGTCACAGTTCAATTCCGAGTCAGGGCACATGACCAGGTTTGGGGCTCAATCTTCAATAGGTGGTGTGCAGGAGGCAGCCAATCAATGATTCTCTCTCATTGATGTTTCTATCTCTCCCTTCCTCTCTCTAAAGTCAATAAAAACATATTTTAAAAAACAGCAGTGTGCACCAGAACTCCATTCTCGACCTTCTTTTGATAACATAAATTCTCTAGACAACCTTATCCATAACATAGCTAAAACCACCACTTATGCCATGAGGAGTCCTAATCTATACCTCTATCCCAAGTCTCATTCCTGAGCTCTAGAATTCTTATCTAACTGCCTACTATTTATGACCTCTTACATGTCCCACAGGCATCTTTTAAATCAAATTTATCTTTCCTTCAAAGCGTGCTCCTCCTATATTCCCTTTCTCCCTGAATGCCATCATCATCCTTTCAAGCAGGAAACCTAAAGTCAACCAAATTTATCCCTTTATCTTCACCAGTATCCAACCCAATTTCCAATTCCATTGTTTCACACCAAATCCTTAAGATGTATTCAACGTTTATTGAGCATCTCTTTTGTATCAGGTACCAACCTGAACACCTGTACATGAAAAAAATTTAGACATGGTTCCAACTCACTGGGTGCTCATAATGTGTAGAAAAATAGATGCTGAAAGTGCCATGATACAAGTAAACACAAGAGAACTAAGGGAGCACATGGAGCAAACATTTAAACCAGTGTTAGGTAAAGGTTTCCCAATGACACCTGAGTTGCAGCTTAAAGTACAATTCAGGGCTATCCAGGCCAAAGAATTGGTGGAATATATTCAACATTTTAAAAACGTTTGTTGATTATAAGAATACAAGTAGTGACCCTAAGAGATTTATCTTACCAGCTAATTCAATTAATTGAACACATCCAATTACATCTTCAGTTTGTTCTCTTATTTGCATAATTTAAGGACCCTTGAGTCTGAAGGCCGACGCTCTATCCACTGAGCCAAACCGGCTAGGGCTATATAATGAGTCTTGTATTGAGCAAATATTGTTTGCAAAAGATGTTGCGCACTAAGAAAAGGTGTTCAATAGATAACCAAATACATTTTAGTAAGAAGTGGTGGAGTGTATACAAGTGGAATCTTACTTGTAAGAAGCACTCTGCCTTGATGATAGTGTCCAGGAAGTTGGTAAATTCTTTTTCACATTCATAATTATTCACCTGGTACCAAATACATTCTGCAGCAGAAATATTAAACATAAGCATCAGGCTGCACAGCAATAAAAACTACATAAAACATAATTACCATAACTCTAAAATAACAAATAAATGACAAATATACACAAGAAATCAGTCTCATACACCTCTACATAACTGTAGATTGTAACAGTTATGTAGAGGTGATAGTGAGATGTTCTTCACTAATACAAGGGGAAAGCCTATAGTGAAAAAATTCACATATATGAATGTGATTAGCTTTTATGTCACATAATGATCTAAGATACTCTCATTTTTCTATTGTTTGAATTTTAAAGCCATGAGTGGTTACTAATTATTTAAACCCTTTCAAAATTTAAAAATTCTTTTTGTTTTGCTTTTACTTTATTAGTATTTATTTCATGCTGAATTTACTCCAGGGCCGTAAGTTTTTGTTTCTTCAGTTTCGTCTGGGGTATCTTTTCCTTCTGTGCAACCTCTTCTGGTTTAGGAACAACCTGCTCTTCTTCAGTAAGGAGCATCTCCATGTGGCAGGGAGAGCTCATGTATGAGTTAATCCGCCCATGAGCTCTGTAAGTTCTGTGTTGCATCTTCGGAGCTTTGTTCAGCTGGATGCGCTTAATGACTAGAGAATCTACATCTAAACCTTGAAGTTTAGCATTACTCTCTGCATTTGTAAGCATGTGCAGCAAAAATTCAGCACTCCTTTTGGGCCGCCAACCCTGTGTCCAACCCCACTGTTTGGCGTGGGCACACCTATAACGATGGAATGGCACACATTGCTTCTGTAAACGGGCACCCTTCACATACTTGGTGGCTTTTCAAATATGCATACCCTTGGTGGCCTGGGCAGTTTCATGAGTGTTTCAAAGTGAACACGAAGATTTGAACCTCTCAATTTGCATGATTTTGTGGGGTTTTCTGGGTCAAATGAATAGAGAACCATTTTCAGAGGTCACCCCTGGCTGCTTTTGGGAAGAGTAAAAATTTAAAATTCTTAATATTATTTTTTATATGAAAACTTCCATTTATTAAGCAACCACAGTTCCAAGTATTATCTAAAATATTAAAACACTTGTTCAAATAAATAACTAAATAAGTACATTTATGAATGCCCTAAACTTCAATTAGGGTGAGCTGGACTTTAGTACATATAAATCTAATAACTGTATCATACCCTACCTAAAGAAAAATTCCAAGTAGAGCAAGGTGTGTTAACTTGGAACCAACTAAAATCGACTTTTAAACACTTGAAGAGTCAGGAGTTGCCTACTCAGGAAAAAAAAACAATCTAGTAAACAAAATATTATCTCTAGAGAAATAGACTCACTTGGAGGAATCAAATTATCAGGATTTACTATGGCCCATATGAAAAACTCCCTCACTGCCCTTTCCTTCAATTCTATAATTAAGAAACCTAATGACTAATTTTGCTCCAATGTATACTCATAACAGAGAGGAGATACTCTAGTTGGCAAAAATGAACATTTTGGTCACCAGAATCACTTCTAGTAGGAAATAATAAGGCAACAGTCTGGTTTATGCAACAGTCTCCTCTGGATTTGATTAGCACTGATCTGTAGGTTTTGGGGACTTAAAGGCAAATTTCTGGACATACAAAAATGCAGAGGCCTTGCACTATAATGGTCATCAAAGTGGAGCCACCCAGTGGGTTTTGGTGGCCACCAGGAAGTATTTCCTTAACAACACACCTCCTTTCTTACTGCCCTTAATTTATAAAAATGGAGGCATTCAGGCTGTGAATATGATAAATATCCAAGAAATAATGATAGCAGATGAAAGTTCCTCCTGTCTAGAATCTGGCACCCTTATAAAAGAAACCCATTTGTAAACGATCATGTTCCTTCCTTAATCATCCAACTTTTAAGCATCAATTTTTACCTTCTTGTAATGTTTGACTCAACCAATGATAGAGCCTCAGTAAAAGTGATTCATCTCTGACACAGTTAATATAGTGAAGTAGCAGAGAGTTGTTTAGCACTGCACCCATCTGAGAAGGCAGCTGCAAAGACAGAGCAATCAGTCAACTTAAGTATGTAAAAAGTAGGTCAGAGCAACAAGTAAATCATCAGATAGGAAATATATAACAAAAAGATCAGCACATGGTCCAGTCACATACCTCTAAGCAATGAATGTTCTGTAAGAGTTGAGGGAAGCTTTTAAGCTGTTCTCCTGAAAATGCTCTATTCCTACTGAGATAATCAGAAAGACGCATCCCTTTTTTTCCATATTCTTTACTGTGGCTACTGGAATTTAGCACTGGTATAAGTGAATGAGAATTCCATTTCTAAAGAAGAAAGACAATAAAATAATATATCAATAAATTAAGCAGACTACAAACTATAAATGTAAAAGCAGTTAAGGTTGTTCAATGAATGGAGTCTGAATGTGATTTGCATAGAATCCTGGGTAATGAAAACATATTTAAATATCTATAATCTCTTCCAACATCTGAATGGTTATTTTTGGATTTAATAAAAGAAGTCCTCAAAAAATCATTTGAGGTCTTTGATACTTACTCTTTTTCTAGGACGGACAGTAGCTGGACCTAACATCAGCTTCAGAGGTTCTGGAGAAGGTTCCTGATTCCTTTGCCTCACAGCAACTAGAGCTGTCTTCCACAGATTCTCTGAATTCTTAAAATAGATCTATAAATTTGGATGTAAAGTAAATAAGAGTAAGTACCCATAAGTTGAAGCAACATAAAATCTAAAACTCTTCATTAATTTAAAGTATATTGATTGTAAAATATTTTGCACCCATGCAAATCCACTTAAAAGAATTTTTCCTTATCAAGAATCTATCAAATACATCGAATGGAATCAAAGTGCCAATCCCTAAAAATACTTCACAGAAACAGTATAATACTAGATCTTAAACAGTATGCTGCCCTGGCCAGTGTGACTCAACTGGTTGGGCATCATCCTGTTCAACAAAAGGTCACCGGTTCCATTCCTGGTCAGGGCAGAAGCCCAGGTTGCAGGCTCAATCACCAGTAGGGGGCGTATAGATGGTAGCTGACCTATGTTTCTCTCTCTTCCTCTTCCCATCTCTCAAATCAATAAAAATGTGTTTGTAAAAAATAAAAATAAAAAATATTTTAAAAATAAATTTAAAAAACAGTATGCTGTAAACATTTCAGTCCAAATCTGTAGATTAATAAAAAAAATATTTCAATCTCAATATGATTTATCACTCCTTAATCCCTTACCTTCTTCACAGGCAATGATACAGAAATCAAAGTGGGATCAAAGAACTTATACAGCGACAACAAAGCATGGAGATAAGGCTGCCTTCCCTGAAATAAAATAAGAGTTTTCAATTTTCAATTCTGTGGTAAGAAAAAAGAGTAACAATAAAATAAACAGATTGGGCATATATTCAGATACTGATTTTACTATGCATTACCGCTACATTAAGATGCTATAGAAAATCAAGAAATGAATAACCAGGCATTTAAATCAACTATCATAAAACAACCCTCGCCAACCTGTTGTCTTCTCTTTTATGACTTATCCTGCTATTTTAGTTCTTCCTTATATTTGCTCTCTTCTTCTTTGCCCACGCCTTAAGCTTACCAGTGATACCTGCTAGCACAGCTTACTCTCAGGGGTAGCATATTCATGACTCAAAGTTTACTCACTCTTGATTTGAACAGGAAGACGGAAGACAAGAAGGGAAGCCAAGAAAATAGAGCAAAGGAAATATTAATACATTATCATAATTCCTGAAAAAAACTGATTAGGAAATCTAACAATTGGTATGCAGCAGCCGAGCTGCTTCCTATAACTGAAATAAGTCTTAACAAAACCATTAATTTTACAATGATAGGAGTCATTACTGCTGGATACACGTATTTGATATATCTGACTACCCAGAGCTAGCATACCACTAAAATGAATTCCAAGGAAATAACCAAAATGCATTATCATAGTATAATTTTATTGAATCAAATACTGTATAAAATAAGGGAGGCAGAAAATGGGGCTTAGAAATACAGTATCCCTATTTTATAACAGCTTCTTCAAATTAAATTTATTTTAACAAAACCAAAATGGCCAGTTTATCTATGCTGAAATATCTTCTGACCTCCGTGCATGTACTCATGTCAATTAGTATCAGAGTGTTTGCTTTCAGCTTAAATGTTTTTTGATAGAGCAAATATTTAGTAGTAGAGAGAACTTTCGAATTTATTGCCTACTTAACTAAACCTATCTTTGTTGTTAAAAAGTTAACACTTTCTTCTCCAAAAAAAGGAAACTTTCAGTTAAACATGGCATATTGAACATATGTGTTTAACCCTGGGTCCTCCCAAAGCCCCATTTACTAAAAAGTAAAAGAATGAAAAAGGCTTAAAGCACAAGTTCAAAGAGAACAAGAGAGGAGACAACAGGAAATCAGAGATCTCAATAAGATTTTGAAACCTAGAATGAAGATGAAAAAATAGTAACCAACTTAACAGAACAGAGAAAATGAAGCCTAAGGCAGCAACAGAAAAATGCCTCAAAATATTCATGCTTGAGAACCCCCAGAAAGACTCAGGAATTTGTGAAACCAGATTACCTCTGAAAAGTGGAGCTGCAAGAGGGGCAAGAAACAGGATTGGCTGAAAGCCTACATGAGAAGCAGGTAGACCCCAAATTCCTTCACTACACTTTTAGGCAAACATCAGGGTTTTACTCTCTGAAGCTGAGCTGGACTCAGATAGCAGGCACAACAGAGGGAGGGTGTAACCAGGACCTCTCTCCACCCCTTTCCACAGTTTATGCCCCAGAGTTCTAGCAGCCAGGTTCCCATCCCTGTGATTGCTGATTTTGTGTCAACTTGGCTTGGCCATGGGATACCCAGGTATTTGGTAAACATTATTCTGGGTGTTTCTGTGAATGTATTTTGGATGATCTACTTTTAAATCAATGGGTTTTGAGTAAAGCAGATTGTCCTCCATACTGTAGGTGAGCTCATTCAATCAGAAACTTATCCTATCTACACTAATAAAAGACAAAGATGCTAATTGACCATGCCTTTGCTACGCCCACCAGCCAATCAGAAGAGTATGCAAATTAACCCAACAAAGATGGCCATTAAATTTGCATACTGCAGGTGGGGCAGGCAGGGCCAGATGCCGCCCGCAGGATCCAGGCCGACGAGGGACTGGGAGGCGGGCAAGCACCCAGGCCAGAAGCCTGAGGCCTGGGCATGGGCGGAGCGGGCCATCGGAGCGGGCTGTGGGGTCCCCTGCCCAGGCCTAAAGCCCGGCCAGAGGCCTGAGGCCTGGGAAGGGGCGGAGGCGGCAATTGCCCGGGGCTGGGGGTCCCCTGCCCAGGCCTAATGCCCTGGCCAGAGGCCTTAGGCCTGGGCAGGTGATCAGAGCGAACTGGGGGTCCCTTGCCCAGGCCTAAGGCCCGGCCAGAAGTCTTAGGCCTGGGCAGGCAATTGGAGCGGACCGGGGGTCCCCTGCCCAGGCCTAATGCCCCGGCCAGAGGACTGGGCAGGGGCGGAGCCTGTGATCGCACAGGGCGGGGGGTCCCCTGCCTAGGCCTAATGCCCCGGCCAGAGGCTTGAGGACTGGGCAGGGGCGGAGCCTGCAATTGGAACGGGCTGGGGGTCCCCTGACCAAGCCTAAGGCCCAGGCCAGAGGCCTTAGGCTTGGGCAGGCAATCGGAGCGACCTGGGGGTCCCCTGCCCAGGCCTAACGCCCCTCTGGCCTGGGCAGGGTCAAAGCCTGCGATCGGAGTGGGCTGGGGGTCCCCTGCCAGGCCTAACACCCCAGCTACAGGCCTGAGGCCTGGGTAGGCGATCGGAGTGGGCTGGGGGTCCCCTGCCCAGGTCTAACGCCCCAGTCAGAGGCCTGAGACCTGGGTAGGGGTGGAGCCTGCGATCGCATGGGGCTGGGGGTCCCCTGTCCAGGCCTAATGCCCCGGCCAGAGGCCTGAGGCCTGGGCAGGGGCCGAGCTGGGGATCGGTGTGAGCTACAGAGGAAACGCCTTTTCTGACCGCTCATTGGCTAAGCTCCCTGTATGCCACTGGTAATATTCTTAGTAACTTGGGTAATAAGAATCCAAAAAGGTGATGTAGGGTTTTTCCACCTCACTCCTGGAGAAAAAAACGAAGGTCCGCTGCTGGAGGGGCTAAGAAATGTCATATCCTGCCCTAGCCGGTTTGGCTCGGTGGATAATGCCTCAGCCTGCCTACCACAGGGTCTGGGTTCAATTCTGACCAAGGGCAGGTACCTAGGTTACAGGCTCTTCCCTGGCTGGGGCCCAGGTCAGAGCTCATGCAGGAGGCAACCAATCAAAGTGTTCCTCTCACTTTGATGTTTCTCTCTGTCTTTCCCTTTCTCTTCCACATTCTCTAAAAATCAATGGAAACATATCCTCAGGTGAGGATAAAAAAAATAATAAAGAATTGTCATATCCTATGAAAGACACATCTTGAAATTGCCTAAAGAAAGTTGTCATTTTTTCATGGTGAAGGGACTGGAGTCCATGTTGATGAAAACACCTTGGTGGCTGCGGTGACTGGCAGTGGCTGCAGCAGCGGGGTGATGGTGCTGGTGCCTTCCCCTGATCAGCCCGGTCGCCTCCCACAAAGGGAGGCCAGACTACGGCTTAGGCCTGCTCCCCAAGGGGAGCAGGGAGCGGGCCTAAGCCATCAGTAGGACATCCCCTGAGGGCTCCCAGTATGTGAGAGAGGGCAGGCTGGGCTGAGGGACCCCCACCCCCAGTGCACGAATTTCGTGCACCAGGCCCCTAGTCTATATATATAACGGACCAGGGGCCCGCACATCCAAAACAACCAAACGGACGA